CAGGTGACTCTCTCATTCTTCAGGTGACCGGGAAGCGCCTTTCTTCACCCTCTTCGGGAGAGAAGTCCCCAGACTCGTGGCCTGAAGGGCTGACTTTGAGGCCAGAGCTCCAGTTTCCCCATTTCCAACATTGGAGTCGTATCGGTTGGGTGAAGGGAGGGGAGCCGGTCTGTGTTGGGTGTCATTGGCACCTGAGAGCAGGGACCATGGTCTTGTGTAGTTGATGCCTGTGCAATGACCACATCGTGAGTCCCAGGGTCACTTCTTATTTACTTCAGAGCCTGCTCACCAGTTCAGTCCAGGAAGGCATTCCAGGTGCTGGTGGCAGCACATGTGTACCAGCTTCATGTTGGGAGCGACCCAAATGCCCATCCGCAGGGCTTTAGACCTAGTGTCGGGGGCTGTGATCCGGCAAGGAGCATAAGCCAGCTGGGCTCCAAGTGTTTATGGGAGGACCTTGACCACTGGAGGTTTACTGGAAAGGCAAGCCACCAAAGAGCATGCCAGGTAAGGCAGAGAAGGGGTAACAGCCTGGGGTGTGCATCTGTGGAAGCATGCTTGCCACCTGCCTGTTACAGTTCCCCAGATTCCTATGCCCAGTCGCCAGAGTCAGGGTGGCCAGACTTCCAGAGACTGAAGCTCTCGATTTCCACTGAAGGCAGCACTGCCATGGTACAGTGTGTATCTGTGCCCACCTCGAATCCTTAAAGGGACTTGGACCAGCATTTGTGGTTGGTGGACTCCAAGGCTGGGGAGATGGAAGGCTGCCTCTTGGAGGCAGGACACCCATGCTGGCCTTAGGGCCAAGAGCAATGTCCCAGAGTGCTTTGGGCTGTCCAGGGGGGCTTGAGGTGGCTACCTCTTTGTGACACACACCTAGGCAGAGGCCCCAGACACCCTAATTTTATCTCTGACAAGGAGAGTCACACAAATGGCCAAGGTCAGGGAGGACCAAGGGGCTAAAGAGTAGAAGTTGGTTTGTGGGACATGAGCCTTGGAGCAGGCAGAGGGAAAAGGCTGGGGCCAGGCTGGCCGAGGGTCACCAGTGGTAGGCACCCAGACACATGGCAGCAGTGGCTGTGGCACTGCTGTGGGGCAGCACACACATGTGAGCACATGAGGGCACACAAGCCCACATCCCCTCCCAGGAGTCACCGCTGGACCAGGCACACCTAGACCAGGCTGGCCACCTGACCAGCCCTGCCCTGCATAGATGGGGGATGGCAGGTGCTGGCAGGTGCATACCCTAGTCACTCTGGTGCCCCTCCTCCCCAGGCCAGATCCTACTGTCCATCCATGGGGGTGGGTGCAAGGTGGGGTGGAGTGAGGGAGACCCTGGGACAGGGGTGCATTCCACATGGGGGACTCAGTGGAGCTAGCCAGAGGCACAGGGACTCAGGACACAGAATGACAGACCCCAGATGGTGAGGGTCCCACCTGTACCAGGGCCCCCTCAGGGGCTCCGTGGTCCCTGCGCACGGGCCCATGAAGTGGAGAGTGGACAGCAGACAGCAGAGCATGGGTGGGGACCACAGCCGCCAGGCCACCACTTCTGCTGTCTCCGCTGCTGCAGCCCCAGGAGAAGGTGCCAGACCCTGGGCCTAGGAGGGGCAAATGGAGCTGCAGGGCCAGGGGTGCTGTGTCTTGGAAACCCGTCCCCTCCACTCCCCTAGGCCCGGATTGGGTCAGCCTGCTAGCGCTCGAGGGCAGGGGATGCTGGGGGGCTGTGTGGGGAGTGGGCTATGACTCACAGCAGGCAGAGAGGGGTGGGGTCAGACCAAGCTGCAGACAGGCACTCTGCCCACTGGGTTGGGGTAGATGGGTGGGTGGGGGGAGAGAAGGAGGAGGGGCAGCTTCGGGTGCATGTGTGCATGTGTGCTTGTGTGTGCGTTTGTATTTGTGCATGTGTGTTTTCAGGTGGGGGTGGATATGAGCCTCTCTGTGGCCCTGTTTGCATTCACAGGTTGCCACCAGTGCTACTGGAGTCCACCCCAGTTCCTTCCGCCTGCCCCTCAGCTGCACCCCATCATGCCAGCCTAGCCTGCTCAGGAAACCTTGTCCTGCCCAAGCTGGTATCAGCCCTACACACAGGCCAAAATTGCAGGCCATGGTGGTGACAATGCTTCAAGATTAGCATGGGCATCGGCATTCAAGTGCCGCGCTGACCCTGGGCATCCCAGAGGACTGTGATGAGGGCGACCTCTAAGGTCCCTGGAGGCCACCCTATGGGCCATGGGCCACTTTACTGTGGTGGGCAAAGTGTTTCAAGAGGAGTATAATGCCACAGTGGCCCTGATTGAAATGGACTAGGAAGTCAACTGTGCTTTGGTCCCCAGGGAAATACCAGGCACCCAGGGCCCCTCGTATGTGGTCTCTGTAACCTGCTTCTCGGGTGAGGAATTTCTGGGTTGAGCATTCCACTTTCTGGAACACCAAGGGCAGCCAGTGGAAGGCATGGCTGGTGTCTTGGGTCTGGGCCTGCCAGGGGTGACCTGGCTCAGATCCATTAGCTCCATTAGTCAGGCCATCCAGCCCTGGGTGGAGGCAGTGAGGTTCCAGAGACTGGGCGGGAGCCACCAGCCCCCCTGGTTAGAGCACACTGCTCACTTATTGCTGCGTGTATGACAGGGAGAGGAGCAGGAGGCTGCTGGAAGGCTTGCATGAGTCCCCTGAGCTGGTACAGGGACTCCTGGAGGGGAGCCCTGCCAGGACTGTGCCTGGCAGCCCCAATCCCAGCATTTCGAGATGAGTCCCAGGCCACCTTCTGAATGAAGTGTTTGACCGCCTTCGTGTTGCAGCTGGAAGTCACACTGCAGAAAGGCATCGCCAAGGAGTCCCTGGCCAGGGCCTCTGTGGCCATGTGTGCCTGAGGTGGATGCTCACCGGGGCCGACCTGACTGAGCCTCTGGATGAAGTCACAGGGAGGCTGAGGGCCAGCAGCAGGCCTTCAGCTTTTGTGGAGATACTGAGGCTCGTTCAGGAATCTGAGGCCAGGCTAGCCTGGGACAGTACAGCCCAGGAAGAGGACAGGGCTGCTGCTTGTGCTAATGCCCAGGCTGATGCCAACATCAAAGCAGAGAAGGAGAAGGTGGAGGAAGGAGAGGAGGTGGAGGAGCAGCAGGCTGAGGAGTCCATTCCTGAGGGACTCAAGGCTGTCCTGGAAGAGTTGGGAAACAACCATGAGGCTGGGGGGATGAGCCACCCCGAGTCCTCCTCAAGAGAATAGGCTCAGAATGCCCAGGGGCCGCCTCTCTGCAGCAGAGAAGGAACGTGGAGGAAGGAGAGGAGGTGGAGGAGCAGCAGGCTGAGGAGTCCATTCCTGAGGGACTCAAGGCTGTCCTGGAAGAGTTGGGAAACAACCATGAGGCTGGGGGGATGAGCCACCCCGAGTCCTCCTCTCA